TTTCTTTTATTTGTTTTTATATACAGCACATTGGAAAAAAAATGTTTTTGTTAGATGTGCTATATGAATAAAGTGGACTGGATTGTTTGCACATGCGCACTGCGTGAGGTTCTGATAAATAAGCTCATAGACGCTCGAAGCTCTGCTTCTACAGCAGGATTTACTCACAAACACCGTACGACGGCCGACTGACTTTCAAACATGTTTGATTTTCTCCTGACCTTACATTTCCTGATTGAGAGGTGGCGGTGAGAGGCTGATCATGTATGCCCAGCCTTAGCTGTTGTCCTGGGCCCTTCAGTTACCTCCTAGATGAGTGGTTGACACCCTCTTGGCCAAACACCACGGGAATGTTCAGCTTTGGTCCATATTTACTATGCTTTTTTTAAAATCTCATCCCAATCAAATCAAAAAGCAGGTCACTGTCCTGTGACAATGAGTGACAATGAGATTCTATAATGTTTTGATTGTTCTGGAATACACATATGATAAAAGAAAAAAAAGGGAAAATCTGTATAGGAGCAAATGCCTTTTCACTGTGATGTGGCTTTAAGAGAAATTGAGTTATACACCATGAATGCCTTCTGGCTTTATATAACATAACAGTGCACCAGTAATACGTAATACCAAATGAAGTGTCAACATCATGGGAGTATGAAACATTTTTATTAGTTTGCACTCTGAATGTGTTTCAGAAACCAGCTTCACAGTATATTCACTTCACACAGCCTATGTCCCAGTTCCACATGATACGCCATGGTACAATGTGTACGCCTCTCATTGCTCTGGGAGGAAACAAGGCACTTAACCGCACATCTCAACCCAACATCTAGATACATTTACCAATGAAAAGCTCTATTTCTAGTAAAAAAAAAAATAAGTCAAAACCAAAAAGCCAACCTTCATCTTAAGAGATTAGAGGCTTTGACAGGCAGTTTTTTTTTCTTTCTTGTTTTTAAAAATGACTGACAGACTCAGATAAAAGTAAAAATCACATCAAACCTGGGTTTAAAAAAAAAACTGTAAAGGGTTTACTTATATCGCACTGAAATTCTGTAAACAACGTAGTAAAACATACCTGCGATTTGTGTGGTTCGTGTTACAGTAGGCTCAAGAAGTGTTTGATGTGCATACAGATTGAAAGAGCAGGTATGCAGACCGTATCTTTCATAGTTGACATCGTAGATTTTTGCACAGGGAAAAGAGCTAAATTTTGTGAGGGTTTATAGTTCTATAACCTTTTCCAAAGCCTAAAGAAAAAAAATGTGTTTGGACTTTAGACTGTTTTCTAAACCCTTTTCTGTCCATTTCTAGTAGGATATTATTTTGAAATGTGGAAAACGGCCAAATTTAGACTTAAAAGATTCACCTCAGGCCTATATTAACCTGAAGCAAATGGTTTCTGAATGCCATGTCTTTTAGAAATAAGATATAGCCAGGATCAGATTCACCATCTTCCAGCTCATCTGCTGATAAATATGTCTTTGTGACAGACAGCTTTAGGGAATACAGTTTCCTCTACCCTCGGAAGAAGTCTGGGTTTTTCTTCCAGGTCTGAAAAGAGTATGGGGGGAAAAACAGACTCTTGGAATTTAAACTGAATCTTAAATCTTGTTGTCCAAGTTTCATCCATTCATCCATCCAATACCTTCATGCATCCACCAATCCATGCATCCATCCATCAGTCATGCATCGATCCATCATGCATCCATCCGTTCATCCATCCATCCAAACATACATGTATCATCCACCCATCCGTGCATCCATCCGTGCATCCATCCATCCATCCATGTATCCATCCATCCATGTATCATCCACCAATCTGTGCATCCACCCCTCCATGCTTTACTCCATCCATCAGTGCATCCATCCCTCCATGCCTCCATCCATCCATGCATCCATAGATCCATGCATCCATCCATCTAT